GGAATGCGACGGAAATGAAAGCCATTTATTTTTTTTGTAAGCTTTATTGGATTTCAAGATAACGGTTAACAATTATGCAGCAGTTCTCTGTCAACCGAAAGAGAGACAAGCCCCATTATTATCGGTGGTAGATAAAAGAAAAAAAAAACAACAAAAAAGAAAAAACCATAAGATGTATGAATAACATCAGCTTAAATGCCTAGTCGAAGAAAGAAAAAGAATTAATATAGCAAACAAATAAAAGAACATTTTGTAAAAGTGCGTTCAGTACATTTAAATTTTCCACATGGATGTATAATGATATGAAAAGAAAAGTATGGTAGTAAGAGTGTAGGTGATAAGTTGTAAGACGAAAAAGAGAAAAGAAGCAAAAGAGTACAAAGTAGATACTATTGTGTTTTTGCAAATCTACGGATATATGCTATAACGGCATGGTATATACATAAAAGGTCTTCTTTAGAAAGAGTTACTTTCGGCAAATGAAGGTCAAGACTGAGGGTAAGAGTGTTTATTATCCTTGAGAATTTTTTTATAGAAACCAGTTGCATCCGAACACTTCTGCTTTATAATATTAAATTCTTAAGATAATAATCAGTTTATGACATTGAAACGTTCCTCTGGATCAATTCTAGATTTTTTTTCAAAAAATCAAAAGCTCAAGCATCATCTCTTTCAACACAAGAAATTCCTTTAGTAGATTTCAGTAATCTTCCATCAAGTTCACAAGATGAAAATAATGAAATATCTTCTGCAACTAAAATTTCTACTCTTGTTGAAACATCAAATTTATCAAATCTCAATAATGTCTTAGAAAATAATCTTGAACATGAAAACCAGGATGAAATTTTTTATTCAAAATGTGATTTGTCATGTTGTAATTCTTCAAATCCCTATCATCCTGTTACAGAGGACGAGCTAGCTTTGACAGTTGTCGACAAACGATCATGTCAAAAAAAATGGTTTTTAGATTATCCTTGGTTAACATTCTGTAAAGTAAGTTTTGGTCAAACAAATGTAATGTGAACTCGAATTTAGTTAAGAGACATTTTTTGTTTTTCAGGTTCAAAATAAAGTGTTTTGTTATCCATGTCGTGTAGCATTTGAACGTGCAATACATCCAAATACCTCTACATTAAATTCAACTTACAAAAGTTTTTTAGCATGATGTTGGGACTGGAAAAATGCTTTATCAAAATTTAAGGTTCATGAGAGAAGTAACTTACATCGTGATTCAATTTATGTTGTAAATCAACAAGGAAAACTTAGTGTGAGAGAACAATTATCATTAGCAACACGACAACAACAAGAGCAAAGACGACAGACACTTATCATTCAAATTTCATGCATTATGTTCTTGCTTCGTCAAGGTCTTGCCCTTAGAGGACATTCAGATGAAAATAGTAACTGAACTGCAACGAGTACAAACCGAACATACCTCTTCGAAGGACTTTGAATTGTTTACAGTTTATACGGTTACGAAGACATCACCACACTTGCTCTGTGTCGAGAATTTTCGTTAAGAGACTATATATTTCGTTATTGGACAAAATTCATTAAACACCTAGAAACTTCAATCGAAGCAGTTGCGTACCAACAAGGGTTTAGCTCCTATTTGACTGCAAAAGAAACGCGGAAAGTGTTTTACAAATTGCTAGGTCACCGGAAAAATAGTAAATTCTTGAATAGACTTGTTCAACGAGCACAGCACTCAAAAAGTGATATTTATCACTTTCTTGGTACACATAGCAAACAGTACGGTATTTATAAAATGTCTACTTCGATATTGGAGGAATTTGTACTCGAATTTTTCCCTATATTTCCACCATGAGAAATGTAAAAAGTGTGTGAGAATGTGAGTGAGAAGAGTTAAGAAGCAATATGAGAATTTGAACTTCCAAGTCTATGTTCTCTCTTTGACGTTTTCTCTTCTTTTCTAAATATTACGAAAAGAAAAAGTAAAATAAATAGATGTATTTTTTGTGCTAAAGCGTTTTGCTATAATTGAGATCCAGTGTAATAAATTGTTGTCTTAAATCTGATAATTTAATGTATTTTTGTTTTTTTCCTCCTTCTTTTTGTACTGAAGACAATGTAAAATCTTTTTCATTTGTTAACCCTTTTTGGGAACAATAAATATATATATGTTAAAAGAAAAATGATCATAACATTCATGAATGTAAAGAAAGATTATTCTATATCAACATGTAAGTAAGGATTTTCTAATTATGATTCAGAAAAGAAGAGAACCATAACACGAGCGGTATTGATGAATTCTTCTTATTCTTTGTGAAGCTAAATTGTGAAATCTGTTTTTCTGACAGAAAGAAGACAGCCAAGTCAGATTCAGATCGAGTTTTGTAAGAACATTTCCATCCAGATATTTCGCAAACCTGACGGCAGAGGAGTGCTAAGGCTTCCGGAAAAATGCCCATAGCTCTCAAATCATGGGTTTTCAAGATGTCGCCTAGACTCGGTTTTGTAGAGGACACTTCGGACTATATATGTCTCCCAAAAAATCAATAGATTCGTTGCCCGAACTGCTTTTCTTTATATTACTGACTTTGCCTCTTATCTTGTAAACGTTAAAGAGTAAAAATTGGTCGATATTTACTTTGCCGTGAACTACATTTCGTTCCGTAGGATACTAGAAAAAGTTAAGAGAGATACTCTGAGCCCATTGAGAATGGTCAATTAATGGTCAGTATTAACAGATAGTTGTTTTGATCTCAAGAGACTGGGATTATGAAAAAATTTTAGCTTTGTCGGGCTTAATTTCACCGAATTATAGAATTTTCGGAGTGAAGAGTATCGAAGATTTTTTTAAAAAAGCGGTCTCCCAAGCAGTTTTCCCTGACTCAGTCATTTTTTATCCGTTTCGCTCGAACAATATCTCATTCGAAAGCTCATGAAAACATTCACATCTATAACACGATACAGTACAGACGTAATATTGTTTCTTTTCCTCTTATAATATTACCCTATACTTGTACGTATACTGTGTGTATACGTCCACGTGTTTTCTGTCAAAACATCTGAATAGCATACAAAATTCAATTTTATTTAACAAAATTGGAAAATGACATATAATCAATTCAATAATATGAATCAAAATGATAAGGATCGATTATGTAATGGTGATAGTCTTCAACAAACACTGAGAGATATTGCTAATATTGATCATCAGAGACAAACACGCACAATAAAACGACAATTAACAAGTTCAACTGAAATATTATATCAGAATAACGAAGAACAGATGGAAAATGACATTAGTGGATATCAAGTACGAATAAACAATAGAACAGCTAAGAGAATGTACAAAAATGATAACAATAATGAAAGAAATAATCATCAGAACTCTTCGCGAACGTTCACAAATTCAAATGCTCCTGCGAACAATAATCAGCAGTCTTACTCTCATCTACAGGAACAA